TCCCATCCCTCTAGGTGGTCACAAAGCACTGAGCTGATCTCCCTGTGCTCTGCAGCTGCTTCCCACTAGCTATCGGTTTTACGGTTTTACGTTTGGTAGTGTATATATGCACATGCCACTCTCTCACTTTGTCCCAGCTTACCCTTCCCCCTCCCCATATTCTCGAGTCCATTCTCTAGTAGGTCTGCATCTTTATTCCCGTCCTGCCCCTAGGTTCTTCATGACCATTTTTATTTTTTATTTTTTTTACAAAAATCTACTTTTAAAAGCAGTTGTTGGGGACAGACGGTTACTAGACTTAACACAGTGACTATTTCATAATGTACGCAAATGTCAAATCACTATGTAGTATACCTGAAACTAACATAATATTGCACATTAACTATATTTCAATAAAAATTTTAATAAAGCAGTTGAAAGACATAGAAAATGAGAGATTAAGTGGCCCAATATATACCTAAAAGAAATTAATCAGAAAAAAAAATGTCAAGGAAATAGAGAAAAAAATATTATTTGAGGAGCTATATATGCCAGAATTAAAGATGTGTGTTCTTATGTGAAAGTACAAATAGGAGTAAGTAGGTGCATGTCTGGGAAGGTCAGAGAACACTGAAGAACAGAGCAGGTTCCAGTTCGGATTCAGTGGCCCCCTCCCTCAGGATCAAGCTTGGAGATACTATAAAGGGATGACATCAAAATGAGAAGAATTTTTTGTTCTAATTCTGTGAAAAATGACGTTGGTAATTTGATAAGGATTGCATTGAATCTGTAGATTGCTTTGGGTAGTACAGTCATTTTCACAATATTGATTCTTCCAATCCAAGAACATGGTATATCTCTCCATCTGTTTGTGCCATCTTTTATTTCTTTCATCAGTATCTTACAGTTTTCTGAGTATAGGTCTTTTGCCTCCTTAGGTAGGTTTATTCCTAGGTATATGGGAGGAAGATCTAAATAGACATTTCTCCAAAGAAGACATACAGATGGTTAAAAAGCACATGAAAAGATGCTCAACATCACTAATTATTAGAGAAATGCAAATCAAAACTACAATGAGGTATCACCTCACACTGGTCAGAATGACAATCATCAAAAATCTACAAACAATAAATGCTGGAGAGGGGGTGGAGAATAGGGAACCCTCCTATGCTACAGTGTACTTCTACACTGGTACAGTCACCAGGGAGAACAGTATGGAGCTTCCTTAAAAAACTAAAACTAAAACCATATGATTCTGAAATCCCACTCCTGGGCATTTATCCAGAGAAAACCATAATTTGAAAAGATACATGTACCCCAATGTTCATTGCAGCACTATGTACAATAGCCAGGACATGGAAGCAACCTAAATGTCTATCAACAGAGGAATGGATAAAAAAGATGTCGTACATATATACAGTACAATGGAATATTACTCAGCCATAAAAAAGAACAAAATAATGCCATTTGCAGCAACATGGATGGACCTAAAGATTGTCATACTGAGTGAAGTCAGACAGAGGAAGGCAAATATCATATGATATCGCTTATATGTGGAATCTAAACAAAAAGGCTACAAATGAACTTATCTACAAAACAGAAACAGAGTTACAGATGTAGAAAATAAACTTATGGTTAACTGGGGGGGAAGGGTAAATTGGAAGACTGGGATTGACACACACACACACACACTACTATATATAAAATAGATAATGAATAAGGACCTACTGTATAGCACAGGGAGCTCTACTCAATACTCTGTAATGGCCTATATGGGAAAAGAATCTAAAAAAGAGTTGGATACATGTATATGTGTAACAGATTCACTTTGCTGTACACCTGAAACTAATACAACATTGTAAATCAACTATACCCCAATAAAAAAAATTTTTTTAAATGAGAAGAAAACTGTGAGGGGCCGCAGGGGAGATGGCGTGGCTATTCTGAACTGGTATGTTTGTGTGTGAGGGGTGTGAGGGTGTCTAGTTGGCTTTAGCCTGGGGCAGAAGGTGGCCTGTGCAATGGTTGAACAAAATAAGGAAGGAGTTGGTGGAATTACTGCCCACTCAATGCCTTGGAACCTGCCTGCGCACCTGCTGTGAGTCAGAGAGCTAAACACGGGAGGGAGTGCTTCCGGTGAGTGCAGAAGCCCTGAGGAGGTAAGAACACTCAGTGGGGACTGACTAGGTAGGCTTGAGAAGATGCTTCTTCACACTTCCTTTTCCAATCCCCCAGGTGGTTTACAATTTAAGGAGTGTCTCCCTCTAAAGCTGCTTCTTCTTGGGGTGCTAAGGATAAAGATCTAATTTGAGGCATTGATCCTCAGAGTGAGGAATGATTAACTCTGGTATTCTTGGAGGGAGCGGGGAGGGGAGAGAGGTGCTCTCCACCGTAGAGTCCACTTCCCCTACATTCCACTTAAGCTGACAGGGCTGGCACAGACTAAGGTCCGACCTCTAGCAATCCTAGACAGAGCAGCCATAACCCGGAGGGGTAACCAGTCATTTGGGGATCAAAACTATTAAAAAAAAAAAACCGAATTACAGGTTTTTTCAGAAGCACAGATATTAGAAAAGATGGACCACGAATTTAAAATAAACTTAATACACATACTAAAATAAATAAGGAAAGGGATAAGCAATATGAAACAGGAAAAAACACAATAAAAAGAATGAAATAGAAATATTAAATATCAAATGTAAAAACAGAATGTTGAAATAGAGAACACAGATGGGATAAACAGTGGAATGAACATAGCTGAGAACAAATTATTAAACTGGAAGATCAGACTGAGAAACTCTAGAGGAAGAAAAAAAAAACAATAAATAGGAACTATAAAGAAAACTTAAGAGATACGAAGATAGAAAGAGAATTACTAATATCCAGATAAGAAGAGCCCAGATAAGAAAGAGAGAAAATGAAAATAAAGTAAGAAATATTTGAACCAGAGATAACTGTCTCAGAATTAAATAAAGATGAAAGACCTCCCACTGGAAAGTCTCATTGGGTGACAAAGAAGAGAGAGAAGGAAAATCACACTTAAGCATATTAGAGTAAAATTTAAGTCTTTTCAACAATGGTGTTGAAACAATTGGATATCTGTAGGGAAAAGAAATTTTTTTTTTAAAACCTCAACCTATACTTCACAACTTATACAAAAATTAACTCAAAATAGATCACAGACCTAAATGGAAAGCATGAAACTACAAAGCTTTTAGGAGAAAATCTACACAACCTTGGGTTAGACAAAGAGTTCTTAGATATGACACCAAAAGCACGATTCACAAAATTAAAAATTGATAAATTGGACTTCACCAAAATTTAAAACTGTTGCTCTGTTAAGATACTGTTAAAAAGAAAAGACAAGCCACAGACTGGAAGAAAATATATGCAGGTCACCTCTCTGACAAAGGACTTGAATCCAGAATAAATGAAGAATTCTCAAAACTCAATGGTAAAAAACAACCTAATTAGAAAATGGGCAAAAAATATGAATATATATATTTAACCAAAGAGAAGTTATGATGGCACAAATAAGCACATAAAAAGATGTTCAATATCATTAGCCATTTGGGAAACACCAATTAAAACCACAATGAGATCTCACCAGAAACCTAGTAGAATAAATAAAATTAAAACAGTGGTAATACCAAAAGTGGGTGAGGATGCAGAGAAACTGGATCTCTCATACACTGCTGGTGGATGTAAGACGGTACAGCCACACTGGAAAACCGTCTGACAGTTTCTTAAAAAACTTAGTATGCACTTACCATGCAATCCAGCAAGCGCACTCCTGGACATTTATCCCAGATATATGAAAACTTCACATACAAAAACCTGTACACAGATGTTCACAGCAGCTTTATTCATAAAAAGCCCCAAACTGGAAACACTCAACTATCCTTCAGTGGGTGAATGGTTGAATAAACTCTGGTACATCTATACTATGGGATGCTACTTAACAATAAAAAGGCATGAATTATTGATTCATGCAACAACCTGAGTGGATCTCAAGAGCATTATGCTGAGTGAAAAAAAAAAATCTATCTCAAAAAGTTACGTATAGTCTGTGTCCATTTACACAACATTCTAGAAATAACAAAACAATAGAGATGGAGAAAAGATTAGTGGTTGCCCGTATACGGGGTTGGGAGGAGTGGGATGGGGTGAATAGCATGAGGAACTTCTTTTGTGGTGATAGAACAGTTCTGTATCTTGATTTTGGTGCTGGTTATAGGAATCTATACTTAGGATGAATTACATAGAACACATACACACACAATGCAGGTTAAAAAAATGAATACTGAATTGAAAATTTGAAAACTGAATAAGGTCTGTAGTCTAGTTAGCATAACATGCCAATGTCTATTTCCTGATTTTTATATTGTACTACTATAGCTATATAGAAGTCAACACAGGGGAAAGCTGCGTGAAGGGTACATGGGACTCTGTACTGTTTCTGCAACATCCTATAAGTCTATAATTATTTTGCAATAAAAACATTTTTTAAATGTGTAGAGTAAGATGGACTGTTCAAAAAATTAAATATTGCTTATCCACAGGGGGATAAATAAGACCCCTATATTACACTATATAGTAAAATTCTAGAGGGCATAAAATTTGAACATTGGAAGAAAAAATAAGACACCTTTATTATATTAGGATTAAAAAAAAGAATTTCTTAAATAAGATTTTAAAAAGCATGAACTATAAAGGAAAACTTTAATTTAACCTTATTCTTATTTAAAATTCTGTATAACAGAAGACATCAAAAACAAAGTTAAAAGACAAGCACAGTTTCTTTTAGAACACACGAAGCTGGAAAAAGCAAGAAAACAAATTCTCCCATAGGGCCTCCAGAAAGGAATACAGCCTTGCAGACACCTTGATTCCGGGACAGTGAGACCTGGGTCAGACTTCTAACACACAGAACTCTAAAATACTACATTTGTGTTGATTTAAGGCACTAAGTTTGTAGTAATTTGTTAGAGAAGCCATAGGAAACTACTATAATGACTTACCTCTGCTGATTTCCAAGCATTAATCTTGAGGGGTAGTGTTTCCTGGGACGACACACTTCTGCTAGGCAACTGAATGTCTTGACACTGCTCTTGTTTCAGTCCTGCCTTGCAAGTGTTTTCTGTCAACAACATAAAGCTAACATTTTACTTTGACAGAAAATAGTAATGTTTTCACATCAGCTCACAATTTTTAAGTTAATCACTTCTGAAGATCCATTTTGTCTACAAAATATACATCATGTGCCAATGGTTACCTATGAATATTAATCATTTAATATATCCCTTTATCATAATTGACAAGTTCAGACAGATTTTAAAAATACAAATTCAATTCTAGCCCTTTCTCCCATCAATGATTCAATTTTAAGTTTTATTATTTGAAACATTTTTTAAAATAAAGTATAATATAGTGTAGAAAATAGAGTTTGAAAATGAAAATTACTCAAATGAAATTTTAGCAAAGCAGGAATGACAATTATAATTATTCTAATAATATTTAAAAGGACTTTATTCCTGCAGTGTGAATTTCATGTGTTCTAGGCAAAATCAGTCAGAAATGTATAGATTATTTTATAAAAAGAAAATTGAAACAAAATTTAAAAATTTAAACAAAAAAGAAATGCCAATGAAGATAAGCTGATATATCTGTTTATATACATTTGCTGAATTTAATGTTTTTGTAGTCTTAATATCACTTTCCTTCCTATGTTAATTACTATGCAAACAAAAGTATTAGCAGCAACTATATTTCAGCATATTATTGGGGACCACAAAAAGCATAAGAAATCTATCTTCAAACTGGTATGGTATATGCACACCTCTGGGGGTACTTGAAGACTTCCCAAGTCTAAGTACATAGATAGCTTTATGGGCATAGATAGCTTTAAAGGACTCAATTTCCAGATGCACAAGTTCTGTATATATTCTTACCAAAAACTGATCTGCCTGAGAATGCAACTGTGTAGAAGCATCTGGCTGGTTCTTTCCCCTTTCCCTTTCATCATCATTTTTCTCCCACTTTACAAAGAAAGACATTTTCTTTACCCATATTATTATGGTGCATCTTCCCTTAAGATACAAGCATAATTGTCTCTAAGGCTGGTATAGGGAAGCTTCCTTTAATCAAGGCATGAAAAACCCAAAGTAGAGCTTCAAAGTTTGTCCTGTCTTATACATATTTCTTTTAATCGCAAAGCATGGCACAAGCAACAGTTCTTTTGGTCCACACCAGGACGTGTGGTACTCAGATATATCACAGTGTGGAGGAGCAGGACAGTTGATAAGTCTCATCTAATATCCTTGTGCTTTCCATCCCTCAGTACTGTTGAAGAATGCATCGTTCCTGAGGAAGAGTCCCATGACAGAAGAGCACAGAAAGCATCAGAGGCAGGGGCACCTTATTTCACCAACGCAACATACTTAGGGCAAGTCTTCATGCCTTAGCTATTTATCTTAAGAAAGCTAAGGAGTGTGAATACAACCAGAGTGATGTCTGGTTACATGTTTATTTAAATAATGTTAGATGTTTTCTGAAAGAAACTTTAAATCTGATTCTACTGGTTGTTTTCACAATGAGGGCCGACTTTGACAACTAGGTAAATATGGTAAATATTCTCCAATAATTGAATGAAACAAATCTGCAGTTTTGAAGACTTGATGAAAATTCATTTAAAGCATATGACACAATAAAATCACTTTCTCAAAAAATTTTGTATTGACGGGTACACTGCAATTAGTGTTTTTATTTTCCCCACACATTCTGAGTATATTGGGTTAAATTAAAACGTAACCAGAATAATTAATAGTCATTTGATAAATTTTAGCAAAAGGTTTTTGGTATTATTTCCAGAAATGGAGAACGTAAATTGTTCCCAATGACTGTTTAACAAATCTTTTTCTAAGTGGGGTGTTTCCAATCCTTTGCTTTCAACAACATTAAAGAAAGATCTAATCAAGTTAACAGTTGACAAGAGATGAAAAACATTTTCATAATACATCACTATATAATTTTTGGCATATTATTTGGAAAGAATTCATAAAATTGATTGACATTGCTATAATAAAACACCTTCTATTCCCCACCCAATTTTAGGTGAACAAATCTTCTGAGCATTTACATCTCTAAAAATGTAAAACAGAAACAGAATTTATGCTGAACCCTGTTTATTTCAAGGAATAAGTAATATTCATATATGGGTAAATGAACAGTTCCATGTAGCTCATAAAAAATATGTCTTTCCAATAAAATTTTATTCTTTATGTTTAGTAAGTACTTAACCACATTTATGTGGTTGTTTCTTTTTTAAAATTTTTTTTTATTTATTTATTTTTGGCTGTATTGGGTCTTCGTTGCTGCGCACGGGCTTTCTTTAGTTGCATCAAGCGGGGGCTACTCTTCGTTGCGGTGCACGGGCATCTCATCGCGGTGGATTCTCTTGTTGCGGAGCACGGGCTCTAGGCGAGCAGGCTTCAATAGTTGTGGCACGTGGGCTCCGTAGTTGTGGCACGCGGGCTCTAGAGCGCAGGCTCAGTAAGTTGTGGCGCACGGGCTTAGTTGCTCCGTGGCATGTGGGATCTTCCCGGACCAGGGCTCGAACCCATATCCCCTGCATTGGCAGGCAGATTCTTAACCACTGTGCCACAAGGGAAGCCCCCATTTATGTGGTTTTGATCGACTCTGTACTAAAAATAATTGTAACAGTAAGTCAATCTAGAAGAGCTACTTTGCCACTTAAAGCCTCTGGTCACAGACAATTTAGAAAAATAATTTCAATTTATATACATATTTTATGTAGAGACAACTTTCAAGCATAAACATACTTTCTATCAGGATAAAATTCTGTGAGGGATGTGGAATAGATATGACTTCAAGGAGAAAAGGGAATGATGTACAATGTCCAATAATTAAAGAAGACCATGTATTGTTTCAAATGAATGACTACAGATATGAATCACAATAGTATTTATACTCCTTTAGATGCTCTTAAAAGACTCATGAAAGTTTTGCTTGTTTTCTTTTCTTTTGTCTTTAATGTCAATATTTTGAATTATATCCTTTGCATTTACTATACTTAAGACAAAATTTCACACGTCAGCTAAAAACATATGAGGAGGCATATAATTTTTCAAAATCATTTTAGGAATTATACAAGAAAAATAGCCTGGTCCTTGCCTTCAAAAAGTTTATAGCCTGACTAGTGAGATAAGTCTAACATACAGAGACTTATAGGAAAAAATTAGAAGAGAACAATTACAGGTCAAACTTTCTTAAAATAACTAACTTTAGGAATAGAAATTCTAAGGAGGAAAAAAATCAATGTGTACCAGAGTAATCAGAAAGAGCCTCAAACAGGAAGTAAAATGTGAAGAAGGCTTTGAAGGATGGCTAGGATCCTGATAAATACAGAGGGAGAAATGATTCCAAGCAGAAGGAACTACATGGGCAAAAGGAGCAAGTATGATATAAGATAAAGATGCTGAAGAATAAGAACTTTGCATTTATGGCTCTAACTTTTCATTTTCTTGTAACTTCACATGAAAATGAATAATTAAAGTGAGCTTATTTTGGACTTGGAGATTTTATAAGTAATACCGGCAAACAGCAGTAGTTTGAGGCTTAGATCATCTATGTACTTTCAAGTGATTTAACGAGGAACTATCTTTATTATCACTCTTTGAGCATTCAGCAACGAATTATCCTTGAAATGATATGGACTTAAGTTTTAGACATCACAGAAGTAGATTAATAAAAATTTCAGGAAGTCAATTGTGAAGTAAAGTGTGAGGAAAACTGAAGAATAGTAAGGATTGTGAAAGAAAAAAATATCTTGCATATTTGGAGATGCATTTTAGCCTAGAATAGCTAAAATGTTTTAAGCCTATAATAAATTATCTTATGGAGCAAGAAGGAAGGCAGTTAGAATATACTGAGTGTACAGAAATTCATTTAGAAATTTATTTTAGCATCAGCACAACACTGGAAGTGAGGTGTGCTTAATTAAATTAGGTGATTACACAACATTGCTTTCTGGGTTTTCACAAGCAAGTGGAGGGGGAGAACACACTTCACACATTTAGTTCCTTAGTGGAAATGAAGTACCCTGTATATCACAAGCTATTTATCAATCAAGACTGTGAAGTCACAGTCAAGGAGTACTAGTATGTGAATGAGAAACCTCAAAGGAAAAAGCGAAGACGCTGCAGGAAACGATGCTATTGAGTCATTCGAAGATGAATGCTTAGATACCACGGCTGTAGGTACTTGGCAGAAGCTATCTGGAGAGAAGCTATAGACCTCATTGAGCCTGTATCACTAGATAATACCACAAAGCAGAACGGGTGAACCCTTTGATATTTCTCAGATGAGATACCAAACTGACGTTCAAACTCTCAGACATTAACGATGTGACAGCACATTTTGGAGTTGAAACCCTCCATAAATACCCAAACTGTTCCATGTATTATTTAGCATCTACTAGACATTGTTGCTATGTATTGACAGTGTCCTTTTAGGTGTAATTGAAGTAAACTAAGTCATTTACCTAACAAAATTAACTTTTAAAAATGAACAAGTATATCTATCATAGAAAACATTCAGTGGCCTAATGAAGAACTGATAAGACTTCAAAGCCTCATAGTGATTAAGTTTGTATTTAACTTTTGCAGAATCATGAGTTTGGAACCTTAACAATTTCATTATCTTGGAGCAAACTTACAGAAAAGATGCAAGAATAGCACAAAGAATTCTCATCCAGATCCACCAATTGTTAACATTTTGTCCCATTTGCTTTATAATTCTCTCCTCATTTATGTACGTATCTTTGTCCTATATCATAAATCTTGAGGCAAAGCCATTGTTGTAGGTTGGATTCTCCAGGAAACAGACTCCGAGACCCAGATCTGTACGAGGGGATTCACTAGGGAGTACTCTCAGAAACCACATCTGGGAGTAGGGAGGGAGGCAGGACTGGGCCAAGGGAGAAATTCAACTGGGATGCGTTTGCAGCAGAGGCCTCAGCCAATCCTACTAGGAGCTCTGGGGCTGGAATGGCTCTTCACCGTTGTCCTGCCTTGAAGCAAAGGGGACGGCCCACTTCCATAAGTCATTGAAAGTAGGTTC